TTGGAAAATGGTGTAGTATGAAAGAAGAAATGAGTGATGAAGATTGGGAACAATATATCCGTGAACAGGTAATTTTCTTCCAACACATATAATAGGAAATTTTCAAACACTAATTAATGAATATTTTTTTTTACTCTCAAGACAAATTCATCATTTCATACATGCGGTACTGTTAAAATGGCACCAGAGTCACAAGGAGGATGTGTTAATCATCGACTTGAAGTTTATGAAACCAAAAATCTTCGAGTTGTCGATGCTTCAATTTTTCCAATTATTCCGAATGGTAATACTAATGCTCCTACCACCATGGTTGCATGGAGAGCAAGCAGGGTAATTGAAGAAGATTACAGAAATAAAATTTAATTGATTCGACTGTTCATAGAGATATCGATCGCGTGATCACGTGATTTGAAAAATAAGTTTTTTTTAACTCGAGTAATCGAATTTTGGTTTAAATAGTTTGATATTGTTGTATTCAGTTCTTTCGTTTATGTATTTATAACAATTTGTAAATGTAAGTAGAAGGTATTAATTGAATAACAATGAAGTAAATATTAAGTAAATGTGACAAATATTTATTTTAGTGTTGCCTCAATTTCGGCGCTATATCAATATATTAAACTAAGTAATGCCAATAAATTAATTAAAACTGTGTAATTATGAATAATTACAAAATAATTGAATGAAATACTAAAAAATTCGGAAATTAAAAATAAACGAAATTTCAAATAAGAAATCAAAAAAATTAAAATGGCGAAAACGAAAATATCACGAAAGTGCTAAAGGAAGAATTTTGAGGAGAATATATGCAAAAATATAACAAGGGCGAGCGTGGATATTAAGCTGTTTAAGGATTTCCGGCTCATTTATAAAAAAAAAAAATAATAAGGCCAGCCTGGCGTTCTTCTTGACAATTTGTCATACTGGCACCCTTGACACAATGTTGGCATATGACATAGTCGTGTCAATTTTTCAAGTCGTAAAGTATCACTATATGGGATCTTTGCAATAGAAAAGGGAGAAACGGGCTGGAAAAAATAAAAATTGAGTTAATGCTAAATCTGAACATATTTTGACCTAAAAATCATATTTGGAACATAAAAGTAACATAGATTTTTCCGGCTGTTTCCCCCCTTTTCATTATTGTCATGTCATAATTTCATAAACAGCCCATAAAAAATAGTAGCTGGATTTTATTTGCCGGGTCACATATACTTATTAGGGGTGACATTTAATTGTGACAATTAGCCAGAATAAATTGAAGAACGGCACGGATGTGACGCGAACTGAAAATTTGCTAACCCCCTTAAACTAATCCTAATTCTACCCTAATCCTAATCCTAATCTTAATTCAAACCCTAACTCTAATACTAACCCTAATAATAAATACCCGGCAAATAAAATCCGGCTACCATTTTTTACGGGCGACGCTATGTAAGTTTAATTTCATATGAAAAATCACATGACTATCAAATTTTCAGCCAGCTTTATAAATACTTGTTATTCCATACTTCGTCTGAATAACCTAAGTAATCTGTAACGAAGTATGGAATAACAGGCTTATCTCATTGATGACGTATACACTGGTAGAATTTTTATAAATTGAATATCTTCCCACACATCTCTTATCTCACTTTTACTTCTTTTTTTCCCTTTTACAAAATTAAAAAATTTTCTATCATATGGATTCTATTCTTACAAATGAGGAAATATTACAGCTTCAACAACTTTCAAGAGTAAAAAATACAGATAAGTATACCTCAAAGTAGCTTTATATGGTTGATAAATTTAATAGTATGGCTTATACGCAGATGTAAACAGTTATAAGCAGTTCTGCACAATTTGCGACTATTGCCGCACAGTTATAAACAATTCATATAATCTTATAATAAAAATAAATTTTTATAATAATCTTTGACAAAACAGTTATCATCAACCTTTTGTTATTATTTTTCAATTGTTTTTACATAAATGATCTTAATTTTTCTACTTGTTTTTAATTTTATATTTAATTTATAAAATAAATAAATTTCAGGGCCAACAATTTTTCCAAGAAAATCTTGCGCCTATTTTCCTTCTTAAGATCGGATTATTTGAATATTTTTTTTTTTTTGTTTGGTTTCGTGTTCATTCAGTCGCTTAGATAGAATATTTAATTTTTTGCCTTTTTTTTTTTTTTTTTTTTTAGAATTTGCGTCTTTTTTTCTTTAGAGTTGTTCCTGGAACACTTCTGCAAGTATTAGGTAATATATTTTTAGTGTTTTGCTAGTTTTTTTTCTTTCGTCTTTGAAACTTCAGGCTCCAGCAATGGTTTAAGTTTCCAATATTTGATTGGTAGGTTTTTTCGTATTTCCCTTTTTTATTAATTATTTATTCTAATTTTATTTTCTTTTCGTGAGGGCAGTTCGATCTGCTGCGGTAAAGCTTTTTTTTTTTTTTTATTTAGGTATTATTTTCGGAATTCTCATTATTATTGTTCTTTTTTTTGATTGCTACTGGACACAGTGACCGAATGATTTCTTATTATTATTTCGAATTTTGCACTCTTTAGGTTCCTCTTTGGAATTGGTTCGCTTCCAAAATTTTTTGACAGCGTTTGGTGTAGTGAAGGTCGATATGCTTCAGGCTAGTGCTCCGAGCCGATCGAGTCGACCCGGATAGTTGACCCGACTCGAATTTTTTCTCTCTAATTCTAAAAAACCCGTCGGATCAGGTCACGTTTTTGCTTGACCCGGGTGACCCAGATGATCAGGCAGGCGATCTGATTTATTTCTTTTTTTGTTTTACATTACCCGACTTTAAATTGTAACAAACAAATAATGAGGACGTTACCGATAGTAGAACTTTTTCTAAAAACGAAAAGCATTGCGGAGTTAACAATTACAGGTAAAAAAAAAAAAAATTATCCATTAACTAATAACTTTTTTATAAAACAACAAGTTTTCCAGTAGAACAAGTTTTTTCTGGAGGAACCATCTGATATCAACCAAAAGAGGTGGTCTTAAGGCGAATACAATTCGCGCCTTATGTGCTTAAATCCTGGTAAAAAAAAATAAAGAATTAGGATTAATGCGCACAATAAAAAATGATAATTTTTAAAATAAAAATAAACTTTATATGACACTTCACTTTATTTATTTTCGGCATTAAAATTATCCTTGATAATTCCGGTAATTATTAACGGGTGGGTTCGAGTTCGAATATGCCTTAAACCCGACCCGAACCCGATTCTTACGGAACACTACTTCAGGTCTCCCTAGTTGTTATTTAATTAGTCTCCTGAAAAGGCGCAATAATTTCTATTTCCAATATACTGTATTTACGCAGTATATAAAAAGAAACTGATTTAAATTATATTGAAACGAATTACTAAGAAAAACGTGGGTGCCTACGTAATGGTAATTTATAGCCTTATTTCTCTCCATTGTATTTAGTTCATCATTTTCGTTCTTTTGAAAGTTTCAAACGATTGATTTTCGATTTTCAGAAAGCAGCTAACTTAATTTGGTAAAAAAGAATCGGATAGATCCTTTTTTAAGTTATCCGAGTAGATAGACTAGATCATTTAAGGGAAATATTTCGGAAAAATTTAAACCGAGGGCTGAGCAAAAAAAACTCATCCTCAGACAAAAAAAAAATGGTTTTAAGAAACAATTTTGAAAGAACGTTAAGAGACTTGGAAAAGAGAATTAAGGAATTAGAGCAAAGTAACGAAGGGTTACGTTCACAATTCAAATATTTTGAAGAAAAACTTAGAGAACGAGAAGAAGAAACCAAAGCCAAGCAAGAAATTATTAATAATTTAGAAGAAAAGATTAGAGAACGAGAAGAAGTGTCCAAAAAAAAGCAAGAACTTATTAATGAATTAGAAAAGAGAATCAGAAATCTTGAATTAATTATTTATGATGATACTATTGAAAGTATGACCATAACAGATGCTAATAAGGATGACATATTGAACAACTTTGGCGGATTGCAAAGATATCGAAAGTTGACAAAACTCAATTGTAATAATTTTCAAATAACAAGCTTACCAACATTACCTGACTCCTTAACGGTACTCCATTGCTATGAAACACAAATAACAAGCTTACCAACGTTACCTGACTCCTTAACGGAACTCCATTGCTATATAACTCAAATAACAAGCTTACCAACATTACCGTTGCGGTAATACTAAAATAACAAATAACAAGCTTACCAACATTACCAAACTCCTTAACGGAACTGTATTGCTATGAAACACAAATAACAAGCTTACCAACGTTACCTGACTCCTTAACGGAACTCCATTGCTATAAAACTCAAATAACAAGCTTACCAACATTACCAAACTCCTTAAAGGATCTCCGTTGCGGTAATACTAAAATAACAAGCTTACCAACATTACCTAACTCCCTCTATTGCCATGAAACTCAAATAACAAGCTTACCAACATTACCTAATTCCTTAACGGAACTCCGTTGTTCCAAAACTCAAATAACCAGCTTACCAACATTACCAAACTCTTTAACTTATCTTAACTGTTCTGATACTCAAATAACCAGCTTACCAACATTACCATACTCTTTAACTTATCTAGACTGTTCTAAAACTCAAATAACTTGTTTACCAAATAAACCCGATTCCTTAAAGAATATCTACCCTGAATATTTAAAAAATCAATAATCAAACAACTATCCTACAACTTCTAACACCTTGATAAAGTTTAACTAAAAATTATTACTTTTTCAACCAATTTAACTTTATTGTTCAAGCATTTATTTATTAATTATACAAGCATTTCTTTTATCAATAAATTTTTTTTTTCTTATTTAATACTGACTGTGAATCAACATAAAAGTTTTTTAATTTTGAGATCCCATTGATATAAACTAATGTGAACGTACACATGAATTATATACAAACACAATTTGAAATATTTGAGTTTATCTGATTCGCAATATAGTTTTTATTTTCCTTCCAGCATGTAATAAAACTAACGATAAGTGATAATTATATTTTATCTTTTTTTTGTTATTGTGAATTATTAATAATAAAATTATTATCACCGGATTTTAACGTACAAAGTTGGTAGCCGTCTTGTAATAGGTATGATGACTTACTTTCTACGACTGGTTATATTAAAATGAATCAAGCTTAATTTTATGATTTTAAATTATAATCTATAAGCTTTATGCTGTTATGTTGTTATGTTCAATGACTATAATTATAATTTAAATACTGAATTTATATTTATTTTTTTATTTTTTAGTTCAATTATTACACTTATGGTTGTGGTTGTATTCATTCTTTCATTTATATATTTATAAACAATTTTAAATGTAAGCAGAAAGTTTTTATTGAATAAAATGAAGTAATAT